TGTTGTCGACCCGGCGCAGCACTCTTCTGTTCATAAAACGGCTCTGAAACATCCAACAAGTTGCAACTGCGGAAAGCAGTTCGATCTCACAAATGAGCTGGTTGCCAACCTCCTTCCTCCACCAAGTCAAAAGGCGAGTAGGAGCACATCCAGACAAGACTACCCTTTTGCCGGAGAGGCTGTCAACAATACAGGCACCCAAACGCGCAAACCCAGCCTCCCAACAACCATAGTGAATGCCAAAACCGTCTGCAAGGAATGATCAACCTCAATCCGTCTGGGATCGCTGCTATCCACAGAACAGAGCTTCGGAACAAATTGGGCGCAAGGCCTTGCCCAAAAAACTCGCTAGCATCTACCTGTTCGGTGTCTTCTTCTTTGGCTGAAGTACGCTTGCGCTCCGACGGAGAATCAGGATCAAGTCTCCGACGCAGAGGTCGAGGAGATCCAAAAATCCCCACGTCCGGATTCAAGCGGTCGCCGTACTCCAGATAACGCTGCTTCTGCAGTCAAGTCTCCAGAGTCATCAACACATTCAGTTTGAAGTTCGTTCGGATCCAGGAGCGTCGTCTTGCGCCAAGTCGGCGAAGCGGGCTGAGAAACGTTCAACCCCCTCGGACGAAAGTCCTGGAGGTTGCTCTGGCTGAAGAGGAAGTACAAAGCGATCTGCCTCAACCGAAATACCACTCGGGCCCCAAGGTCTCGCACGAACGCCTTTCAGAATTTCCACGTCAACCTGAAACGAAGGCGAAAGTCGCCTCGCCGTGCGTCTCTTAAACACGCCGGAGCCGTCAGCGCAGAAGCGCATTCCGCTCTCCGTGCACATGCCTAGCCATATGCCCTTGCAAAGTTGGGGCTGTGACTTTGCAAGCCCAGGCTTCCGAAAAGCGCACGTCTCTCCGAAGCTGCAAATGGCTGAAGTGGTCCAACTTGACTTCTTGTTCTTGTCGGACCAGGCCGGAGCCCGCAGATCACTTTGCTTAACGCGCTTGATGCGTTGTCTGGATTAGGACTTGCCGCGGTAATCCTGAAAAGGGTCGTAGCACTTGCACTCAGGCTGAACTTCGGCGTTTCATCCCTGAGATTGGACGCACTTTTGGAGCGCTCCAGTGCGACCCAGCGCTCAAGGCACTTGCTGAGACAGCGACTTCTGAGCTTGATGGCTTGACCACGCGCGCTTCACCCACAGCACAGGATGGAAGCAGGCCCAAGGCTTTATCAGGAATGCGCAGGCCACTTTGTGTGCTCAGGCTTGCGCTCTCAAGCTTGATTTGAAGTCAGGGTACCCCGTGTATACTTGGCTCATGAAGCATGCTCAATGGCTGTTGAACCGCTACTTGGTCAAAAGTGGCAGCCGCACACCATGTGAAAAGCGATGGGGTCGGAAGTTTACTGGCTGTTTCAAGGACAAAGTCCGCGACTGGTGTTGCCGGGATTTGGCCTGAACGCACACGGGACACCATGATCGAAATGACAAGTGCGTCAAGCTGTGTTCCTGGCAGTCCAAGACAGTCGGCTCTGTTGGAACAGGAAATCCTCGAGGGCGTTGCGCCAGCCAGCAGGGTTTTCAGGTTCTGCTTCAAGTTGGAAAGGCAGGTTTCTCACAGGCTGAGCGCCTGCTTGCTGCACGCCAAGCATCCTCATTTCCGCACCCTCAACGTCAAAAACGTCCGTCAGCAAGCCCTCTCACGAATTCTTCGTCCTCTGGAACAAACACAAGTGTTCCGTGGAACCTAGTGAATTACGTAGCCAAACAAGTGGAAGCTCGAACCACAAGTCATGGTCATAAGGTTGGTTCGTAAGTGGGTCAACTTGACGAAGTTGCTCCAGGATTGTGGTCTGGTAGGCTGCCTCCAGCATCCTGGCGCGAGCGGTTACGGGAAGTGCTTTGAACCTTTGCAGGCGCAAGTTCCGCCATGGCTGTAGCACTGCTGAAGGTTCCTCCACTCTCACAAGTGGACAAGGCTCAGGCTTCGGCGCAGCCTTTGGCACCGACAAAGCACCTAGACACAAGTTCGAACACTGTCTTTCCAAAAGGCAAGTTTGGCACGCAGGTCTTCAGCCGTCTGCCAATTGTCAACAAGTTCTGCCTTGGCGCCGTCTTCATACTCCAAATGTGTGACTTGCTCTCCAGCCAAGTCAGCTTCGGCCCGGCAACCGGGCAGTCTTTAGTAATAGACAGGATGAAAAGTTGGGGCAACCAAGTGGATTGGAGCTACATCTTCAGAGTACTGGCCGTGAAAAGTGTTACACACCTCTTCAAACACTTGCCTGTTGAAGCCAAAAGTGAACCGTGTCGTGCGGCTCCCATCTTTTTGCCTCCTGGTGCCACCAAGTAAGAGTGTTCCTTACCAAGTTCAGCACAGTAGCCTTGCGTCAAAAATCGAGCTACGGAGCACACAGCACATGGAACGTCACAAACATAAAAGTGCAACCAGCAGGCACAACCATCAATCTCAAAGTGTTCAGAATGTCCTCAGTTTTTGAACCTCGACCACGC